CAGAGAAACCCTGTCTTAAAAAAACAAACAAAACCAAAAATAAACAACAACAAAAAACCTTCCCAAAGTAACCAGGCCCTGGGAAATGGCAATCACCAGGTAATCTGCGGATGGGACATCAGACTACTGGTTGCTCAAGACCTTGACAAAACAGCCTGGTTTTATTTGCCTGTATTAAACCCTAACATTCATGGGAAATCATCAGATTTTAGGGAACAGGGTCCAGACCAGGAATAGCCTAATAATCCTTTCTCTTTTTCTTAGTTACTCCTACCCGTTGGATTCGGAGTGTTGAACTGTAGCTTCAGGCAGGCTGTACACGTAGAAGGTGCTCTGGGAACGCAGGAGAACTTACCTTGACGTCATCATGAACACAAAGAAATGATTTTCCTTGGGCTTCAGTGTTCCCATCTTTCCGATGAAGGATTGGACCACGTGATCTCCCAAATAGCCTCATCTTTAATGTCTAATTTCTTCAAAGGGTTTCAACAGGAAGTAGGGGGCTGCCCGTCACTGTGTCGAGCTCTTCTCTTTTCCCTCCCACGATAGCACATCCTTCAGCTGCTGAGATTGCTCCTGTCCTCAGAAAGCCTTGGACTGAGCAAGTGAGAGCTGTTAGTGTTGGCCTGCAGTCCTTCCTGGTGACCAGCCAACATTGTTCTGCTCCTCGCAGGGGTCCCACCAATTCTGTTTGCCTCTACAGAACTTCAGCCTGTCACCTGGAAGATGCCGAGATCCTGTCACAGTCGCTCAGGGGCCCTGCTGCTGGCCTTGCTGCTTCAGACCTCCATGGAAGTGTGGGGCTGGTGCCTGGAGAGCAGGCAGTGCCAGGACCTCACTACGGAAAGCAACCTGCTGGTATGTGGACATCGGGTACCACTTTGGTTTGGGGAGAAGATGGCTTTGGGCTTAGGACAGCTCAAAAGGAAGAGCAGTTGAGGGGTGTGGAGATAGGGAAATTCATCTCCATTGATTGGAGTGACCCAGAGCAGCAACAGAATATTTCCCATAAGGTTGGAATTAGACAAAGGAGAGGGAGGAGGTGACTTAAGAGAAAAAGGGGTCTGGCCCATGATTTCTGCCCTATCATCCTCACTTCCTACTCTGTTGTCTGTGAAAACCCCTTGTCATATTTTAGTTTAGACAGAGCCATATTAACCATGATTGTTCTCTTAATTGATCCTCTATCTTTACCCTTTAGCTCCCAAATTAACTCCTCCTTTATATATAAGTGAAAACTTACAATTTTTATTCCTATTTCTTTATCTTCTTCCAGTCACAAAGCCGTTGCCAGTTAGGTATTTCCACACAGCATCTCCAGAGGGAGAAGGAAAGACCAAGTACTGTGTGTGTGTGTGTGTGTGTGTGTGTGTGTGTGTGTGTGTGTGTAAAACGGTGCCAAATAGCTCATGCTGTGTCTAGAAGGCAGGCTTCCTGCCAATTCCTTTCCAGTCTTTCTAAAAAGAAAGTAAAATGCCCTCTGGGACAGGTTGGAGCTCCTTCTAGGTCACCACAGGGTGTGCACATAAATGCCGGGTGCCTGTTACTATTATCAATAGACAGTTGAGGCTAGGTAGTGGGAGCCACCTCCTCAAGACATAAGGGCAAGGTTCAAATACAATGTTTCAGACTCAGAGGGCCCAAGGAACACTTGGGAGACTCCAGTTCAGAAAAATCTAAGACTTGATTTTGAGACACACATTGCATCACCTCTTCTGAGATCTCACCAGAAAGAGGGGAGGGTGTGCTAAACAGGATCAGAGTCATAGGTTCTATCCCCACCTCTGACACCTTGATCTTTTTCTCTTTCTGACTCCCCCCATTTCATTATCTGTCCTTGGGGAAAGGTACTTAAATCACATAGATTTTACCATCCATTGTTAATATTCTGTGGTATTAGAATTCTGAATCCCTGGTGTAGAAAACCCTCAACTGGAAAGAGTGGGTAGGATCCTTCTGTTTTCTCCTCAGTAACTTCCAAAGATCTAAAAATCTTAAGGATGCAACCTACGGGTAAATAAAGCCCCCGTGGTCAAATCCCCTAAGACCAGAGTGCAGAGCCACAAACATTCGCGGCGATAGAAAATACCTGACCTTCCAACCTTCCTCCCAGTCAGAATGAGGTGGCAGGAAAACGAACTAATTTGTCTCAATTCTGATTGAGAAGATGCATGATCAACTCACAGAGTAAAGGACCTAGTGGATGAAGGGAAGTTTTGAGACAAGGGGGCAAAGGTACAGGGCTGGAGTAGACATGAAACTGTAGATTACTGGGGTTAAGATTGAAGCATTGTTGAAAATTCAGGCCCCAGAAGCCAGATATCTATAACCAGGAAAGATTCTCTCCCAAATTCCAATCCCATGCCCCTCCTTGTACTGAAAAGGAGCCACACTTTGCCATCAATAAGTGACAACACTCCCTTTTGGTGCATATGATAGCAAGGCCCTCATAGTAAAAGCTACGGAAGATAAGCAAGGAATCGGTAGGGGTGCTTGCTGCCATCTAGGCAGAATCATGCAAGAGCAAGAACAACTTTGTACAGGATGTCGGTGGGACCTGGGTGACCCGGTGCCGACGTGCAGGTGTCCATGTGCTGGGCGCGATGGCCTCGAGGCCGGAAGTGATTCCAAGCCCAGGGAAGGGGAACGGTGGCCACAGAGCCTGCCAGGTCTGGCTCACACCTCGGGCTCTCCCACAGGCTTGCATCCGGGCCTGCAAACTCGACCTCTCGGCGGAGACACCCGTGTTCCCAGGCAACGGGGACGAGCAGCCGCTGACCGAGAACCCCCGGAAGTACGTCATGGGTCACTTCCGCTGGGACCGCTTCGGCCCGAGGAACAGCAGCGGCACGGCGCAGAGGCGCGCGGAAGAGGAGGAGGAGGATTCTGTGGCGGGGGAAGATGGTCGCTCTGAGCCCGGCCTACGCGAGGGCAAGCGCTCCTACTCCATGGAGCACTTCCGCTGGGGCAAGCCGGTGGGCAAGAAGCGGCGCCCAGTGAAGGTGTACCCCAACGTCGCCGAGAACGAGTCGGCAGAGGCCTTTCCTCTGGAGTTCAGGAGGGAGCTGGCTGGCGAGCGCCCCGACGGCCTGGAGCACATCCTGGAACCCGACGCCGCCGCCGCCGAGAAGGAAGATGGGCCCTACCGGATGGAGCGCTTCCGCTGGGGCAGCCCGCCCAAGGACAAGCGCTATGGCGGCTTCATGACCTCCGAGAAGAGCCAGACACCCTTGGTGACACTCTTTAAGAACGCCATCGTCAAGAACGCTCACAAGAAGGGCCAGTGAGGGTGCAGGGGTCCTCTCACCCCGAGCCCCCTCCCTGCATGGGCGAGCTACTCGCCGCAGACCTCAAGCCTCCTAGTTAGCCTGTAGTTAGGAAATAAAACCTTTCAGATTTCACAGATGGCTCTGACCTTCAATATAGACCGCGTGAATAAAGTCAAAACACAAAAAACCGTCCAATAACACTACCATGTGACCAGATGGTTGTTTAAAAAAACCATACCTCTACCCACTTGCCCCAGCAAATGACTCGGGGGTGGGGGTGGGACAGATAGTTTGGGTGGCTCAGGGTGGATTCTCTGTCCAACATTCCTGCGGCACCACCAAGGCCCACTCCCCTTTGGGAAGGGCTTCTGTGTGTGACCTCAGGCAGGTCCCTGAAACCTCCCAGGATTTAGTTCCCACCTGCCCCTTCTTGGCATAAGGGCTCTGGCAGGAATAAAAAAAGAAAAGAGATGACATTATTTTATCAGGAAATTGTGAAAGTTGAGAGTTGACAGCAGTTTCAGTTTGGTTATTCACATATACTCAAGGCACATGACCTTCTGTACACACCGTGGAGAGAGACGCTTGAGTCTTGAGGTGGTTTCCTATCTTATTGTGTCTCCCCAGCTCCCCAACTGTCCAACTTCAGTCCTTCATCCCCAAGTTCTCCCTGAAGACCTCCACTACCTAGAGCATTAACTCACTGGCCTCCAGCTGCTCTCCTGCCTATGCAAATTACGTTAGCACAAATATTTAAAAAGCTTGCTGATCTCATAGTCCCTGGCTTACCAACCAAAACAGTATCCCCTCCCTCCCAATTTCCTAACAGTTGCAAACTTTTGGGGCAAAGGATGTAGAGCCCACGTCAACCATGTCCACTTGCCTACCAAGCCTTCTGGCTCATGCTTCCTGGGATGCATGATTCCTGGGATTCCGTTTCGTGTCTGCTGGTCTCATTGTTACCCTTCAGTTCTTCATTGCCCGGACCCCATCTTCAGTGCCACCTTTGCCCACCTTTGCGAATCTTGCCTCTTCCAATGCAAGCCTAGGCTCAAGACCACCTCTACTAGGCCAGTTCTGCTCTCATTCAGTGGTCCTGTTCATTTTCGGGGCTCCTGTAGTCAGCTCCCTCTGTGCTGGAGGGCATGCTGTCTGGCCGCGAAGGCAAGTTACTTGGTGTGTGTCTGTACGGTCCCCTACTCTGCAGGCTTGTGTTATACTACTTTTGTGTCCTGTGTCGTCACAACGCAGGGGCCAGAGTTTTGCAGTTCATTACCATTAAAGGGAATGAACGCGTACCTATCGCTAGATTAGACATCCATGGACCACACACATCAAAGCCTGGTGTATCTGTTCATAACCCCTTATATTTGGTAGGCGTTCACAAAAACACCATGAGCCCCTGGAAGTCCTGGTGTGTGGAGAGTCAGAAATCTTGATTAAGCGCTCCCTAACGTGGGTCGTGGGAAATGAGCTAGAATGAAGAATGGCCTGGCCTTCCTGAGGATGCTCCCTGCTGGAATCCTCACTTAAGGCTTCCATCTCTGTACCGTCCTTGGCCTCCCCCCACGTCTCCTCCACCATTCATTAGAGCCAGGTAAAGCCAGGGCCAGTGGGGGTGGTTAAATGCCAATGGCACACTGCTGATTTTTTCAGATTCTAATTTCATCTAAAACAAAACAAAACAAAAAAACCCAGCCATTTCCTTTTAAGAATTTCAACAGACAGTCATATGGTGACAACATTAACATTTATTTGAAAAGGGCATTGTGCAGGCCCACTGGGAAACCACGGCTAATGTCTTAAAGAATGACTTTGGAATAGTCCTTCCAACACCGGTTCTCCCCCGGCCCCTGTCTCCCTGGAAGGAAAACTAATTAGATTCAACAAGGTTAAAATACAGGAAGCTACCACAGGTGCCAATTCTGTACTCACATATAAATAAGTCAGCTATAATATATACAACGTTGGCAACTACAAACTACATTAAATACATGCATTGACATAGGCACATACACACTCAGCCAGGTCATGAAGGTCTAAAAGAACTCAGACACATTGAGATGGATGGGCTGGAGCATCTATGGGTGTTCAATTTTATATTCCATATACCAGAATCCACAGCCATGAGGAGTTCAGAGGGCAAGTAAACCAGGTAGTGGCCGCCTACACTGTGAACCCAATACTCCGGGAGGCAGGGGTAGGCATATCTCAAGAGTTGTCAGGCCAGCCTGGTCTAGAGTGAGTTCCAGGACAGCCAGGGCTGTCACATAGATAAACCCTGTCTTGAGCACCCCTTCCCCCCCAAAAAAGAAGGCAAGTGCTGGGCTCAGGAGAACCTATGCTCCCTGAAGGAGCCAGGCTGGTGCCAGAGGGCAGCCAACATAGCCATGAAGTTTTTCCCTTTGCCCCACGGTTTCTCCTCCTCACTCCCCCAGGTAGCCGGGATCAAGAATAAGACCTCCCATGACTCCCCTTCTGCAGTGGCTAGATCTAGACCTAGCTTGGGTTACAGAGCCATAGGAAGCAGACTTTTACACTAGAGAGATAGAGGCAACAGCTTTCCTTGAACCTTACCCCCAGATTCCAGAGGACAAGACCCCTGTTTCAGTGCAATCTACTTGCCAGAGGTCAAGGGGAGCAGACACTGCCTGATACAACCCTCCCCACCTCCAAGTCTGCTTCTAAACACAACCTTCAGACTCACAGCTAGGGCGTTCCTTCCCCCCAGATCCCCAAACAGAGCCAGCCACTCTCTTAGCAGCATTCTAGGAAGCAGGCTGGCAGCCCAGGACAACAGAAGAGCAGCTGGTGGACACTGTGCCCCCTGCCCCAAGAATCCGGAGGAACCTTAGGGCTTTTCCAGATCCTACTCCCGCAGTATGCAGGATGTGGCTGCTCAGACCAAGGTCCTTGGTCCCAGGCTCACGGTCCCCTGCTTTTTTAGGTTTTCTTATGAGGTTACTGAGGAGGCATGAAACCATTTGTTTTCTAGTGATCGAAGTAAAGAGGAAACAGGCTCAGCACAGGGGAGGCAGCAGCTGCTTCTGGAAGGAAGGCATTTCCTGTCAATCCGCTTCTCACACTTGTTGATGATCCACCAAATTAACTTCTGGACCTCAAAACACACTCACGCCTGTTAGATTCTGTCAGCAGGATGCCACCCTTCGGCCCTGGCCTATGAAGCCAGAGCCCTGGGTGCTTTGGTGGGGTGGGGACCAGTTGGCCTTAATGACTTTGCTGGCTCCTTTTGGCCCTGGTTTACAACAGAGAAGGCGACAGAACAGGGCATGGACAGTGCTGTCAGACACCAGAGGCTGGGGAGGCAAGAGTCACACTGGGTCCCTCCCCCAGCCTGGTGATGGAGTGACAGACTCTCTTGTGGCCACCATCTAGACTTCCTGACTTGGCCAGGATCAGATTCCATTCCTTGTCAACAGGCAACCCAATAGCCTACTGAATATAAACTTAAATCTACTAAGAAGAGGGCACAGATGTGTGGCCCGCTCTCTAGAAGCAGCACATCCCTGTTAAGCAGCCATGGTTTGGAGACAAAGGAAGTTCAGAGGAGGACTGCGGAGCAGCTGAGTCTGCAGAACTGGAACTCTGTTCCCTTTTTCCAAGGCTGGGTTGAGGGACAGGGCCTGTGAAGGCCTCTGTTTCTGATGCCTGGCTCTAGAGAGACTCCAAGAAAGAGGCTCTCACAATCCACAACAAGGGTCAAGCTACCTCAGAGAGGACACTGATGCCACTTGGGAACAAGAAAGAAACTGATGCGCTCTTATCCAAGCCAAGCTGGCATAAAAGATGTGGTGGGCAGGTGAAGAAAGACACGTTTTTAGCTCAAGGCTTAGATTTTCTTAGTTGCTAAAGGGTTACTTGCCTTCATGCTTTTCGAAAAACTTGGCTTCTTAGTAAAGAGATATTAAGGAGAAACCGAAGTCCATGCTTATAAAGTTGGATTGAGCGACAACCACATAGCTCCAAAGTCAGGGCGGCCTCGTCCTCAGGGACATGAGATCATGGAGGCCATGCAGGAGCCGTGAGTTCACAGCTCAGTGCAGAGACCACGGGAAAGAGTTACATTAGAAGTGAAAAATCTATGGGGACAGGGTCAGATAGGTCCCATCTGTGACGTTTAACGTATGTGCAATGGGGAAGTACATGAGTTCCAGTCCTCCCAATTCTGGAAAATGTCCCCACCTGTCCTAGTAGGTGAGCAGGCTTTCACCATGCAGGATCATATCCAGGGCTGTGGTCTAGAGTGTCCTGAGAAGCCCACACCCTCCTTAGCAGAAATGGCTCCTTTATGGTCCTGGGTCACACGGCCTAAAATTACACCCTAGAAAGGATTCCTGCAAGTCAACAGATCAACTCCCTTTTCCTAAAAAGCAAAATTCCTAGAAGCAGCATTGGGCCTGAGAGGAAAACAGCTCAGAAAACTCACAGGAAGTTTGAAAGGGAAAGAAAGAACTGTCCTGGACCATGGACTCCCACTGGAAGAGGCCTGGGGTGCTGCCAGAGGCATCCTGGGAGGCATGAAGACACCCAGAGGGGCACCAGGAAAGGGTCATCCACCCAGCCCTGGGTCAGTGCTCCCAGAACACATGAGCCACATAAACACAGGTAGGTGGTACACAGGGAAAATGGAAGCAAAGGGGTTTCCACCACTTCTACCCAGACCACAAACAAAGCCAATTATCCTCAGTGTCTCAGACTTGGCCCAGAGGGGAAAATATCATTTCAATCCTAGCTGTTAAATCTCTTTCCTTGAATCCTAAAGTGCCACTTGTTCAATTAATCCCAACACACACACACACAAACACACACACACACACATTCCTGCTGCAAGCATCCTCCATGGGAAGTGATGTGGACAGGCCTCAAGGCCCCTGGCATTTCCTCCCCGCTTTCCAGTCACCTAGGACCAGCTAGCCTGCTCAGCTGTCTCTCAACCCAGAGGATGTGGAAACACTGTGGGACATTTGGAAGAAAGGTATCAGGGAACACACTTAGCAACCTGGGAAAGACCCAGCAGAGAGAGAACCGCAGAAGATCTGTCACAAGCTTCCTCCAGACAGAGGAGCTGAGAAGATGCAACTTGCCACACTTGTGCTTTGCCGATGCTGCCACCAAGCCCGGGAAGAAGCAGGCCCTCTCTGTCCCCAGCCTGTTGTTCTCCCGCCAGCCTCTCTACCCCAGCTTCTTCTGTAAGTGCTCAGCAACCATTAATAGTAGAAAAAGAAACAGACAATTGGAAAGTGAAGAAGAGGCTCCGCCAGACACCAGGACTAAGAGGTGGGAGCACACATCTCCGTCCAGCTCTTACACTGTCACTTTTTGATGAGGGGGCTTTCCTCAGCTTCCCCGAGCACCATCTCTGGCTTTCTTAGACCATCGGTGCCTTCATCAGGCTCCTTCCCCTGGGGTGTCTGACACTCCCTCCCGGACACATTCCCAATGGAAGCTTGCCAGGCCCATCTTGTGTCTCAAGGGAGACACCCTCATGATTCTCTGTCCCTGGCTGATATGAAAGGAAAGACAGATGAGGAGCTTAGCCCCAGAGGGCAGGAAGCTGGATCTTCCTCACAGAAGACCAGAAGAGGGCAGGAGGGCCACGGAGGACCAGAGGTTCCATCTTTGCTCAACTTGGGAGGAGCCACTGTCCAAGGTGACTTTCTCTGCTCTCCTGGTTAGGTTTCCACATGGTGAGAGTGGGTAGGAGGGCGGTCCTCCCGGTGTCCTCTGAGGAGTTCTGTCTCTTGGAATTCAGTACACACACAGGTCGGGAAACTTCATCTCATAGACAGGGATGGAATGGTTCTGTGGCTGGCCATATGCAGCAGTGATGGTCCCTGAAGGGCTTGGAGGGGGCCTGGGGATACACGGAAGAGAAAGGTATGAAGCAGGGACTGAGGTCCTACCCTTGTGCCACTGAACCCGGCAGTCGCTTTCCGAGCCTCTCTAAAACTCAGACCATTCCCTGAGTTCCAGATTTTCAAGATGTTCTAGGATCTTCAGTTCGAGCTGCCTGTAGGCTCCAGTGGCTCTCAACCTTAACGCTGTGACCCTTTAATACAGCTCCTCATGCTGTGGTGACCCCCACACATAAAATTATTTTGCTGCTATTTCAGATTGTAATTTTGCTCCTGTTATGAATCATAAATACCGGATCCTCAGGATATCTGATATGTGACTCCCAAATGGGGTCTTGACTCACAGGTTGGGAACAGCTGCTTTTTGGCAACACAGGTGCTTGCTGGGGACACCGTGACTCTCATCCTTCTCTAGACCTTACTAAGTCAGTTTCTTGCCCACGTTATGGTGGCTGGGAATAGAGGCTGAGGGTGGAGGGCTGCAGGCAGGTGTGAGAAGAGGACTTAGGATAACGGCCCTGACCTGCGATGCTGGACACGGAGGTAGGGCCCCCTGTCTGGGCTGCCACTTACCGGATGGTGATTTCAAAGATCTGGTTGAGTTTGCTCTGCAGCAGTGATGCCTAGACACAGACAGAAGGAAAGTGAACGTTGGGCTCCAAGAGAACTGCCACCTCACTGGCCCCCTGCACAAAGGACACTACTGCCCAAAGTTTCTGGCAGGAGCAACTGTGGGAGGGTAGCCAGGTAGATACTCTTAGCTCTGGCACCTGTCTATTGAACTTGCACATCCAGATGTGTAAGACCACCCATCAAAGGCTGGCTGGGGACCTGACAGAGGGCTAGGAAGACCAGAGAGGGTTTGGGCAGGCTTCTGCTCCTTAATATGGGGTAACAGGATCTGTTGGGCTTGGGGTCAGGAGACTGGGGCACCGGGTCAGGAGGCTAGAGCTGATGTTACTCTTTTTTGACATGAGTACAGCACTTGAGCTTCCTCCTAGATCACAGAATGGGCAGTCAAACTCTCAAAGTGGGGTGGGAATAACTTACAACAGGGAGCACAGGCTTGGGAGATAAGTGTTTTTACACAGCTACAAAATAATGTAGATCTTATATCAATAAATTTAATATATAAGCCACACGCCTGTAACCTCGGCACTCAGGAGGCTGAGGCAGGATGGTTGAATGCTGTGGTATGAGCCTGGGCTACATAGTGAGTTCAAGGTCAGCCCAGGATGCCACAGCAAAACCCCCATTTAAAAGAACCTGCTGGCTGGTGAGAGGGTTCAGTGGGCAAAGTGCACACTGCACTGGTAGCCTGAGTTAAAACCCTAGAACCTACATAAAGGTGGAAGGAGAGAGCAAAAGCCCCTTTTTATATACCTCCATATACATACACATATACACACAGGATAATAATAATAAAAAAATTGTTTTGTTGATAGGGTATCCACCCTGGCTGGCCTGGGATTATCTATGACAACCAGTCTAGCCTTGAACTCAGAGACCAATTGCCTCTACTCTCTGAGTGGTGGATTAAAGTATGAGCCACTACAACCGGCTGGTACACTCTTTATTCCCCCCACCCCCCCCGCCCATCTTTTTTTTTTTTTTTTTTTTTTTTTTTTTTAGGTCTCACCATGTAGCTCTGGCTGGCTTGAGATTATCTATGTACACCAGCTTGGCCTCAGATTTACAAAGATCTGCCCGCCTCAGCCTCCCAAATGCTGGGATTAAAGGTCTAAGACAGTGAGTGATAAATAAAAGCCCAGACTCTGGGCTGAGGGGGAGCAATGTAGTGGAAGGCACTGGGGTAAACGGCAGTGCACTGTATACTGAAACCAAAACCCTAATTTCTGCAGGACAAAGAGCTCGCATCTGAACTCAGTCCTAACCTGGACCCAAGTCTGCTTTCTGATTGGTCAGGAAGGCACCCTCTGGTATGTTACTCACCCGGGCCCCACAGTGAGCTGCAATTTCCTCGAAGGGCGCCTTCTGGAATTTCTCTACCACCTGTCGTCGCCGTTCACGCTCCTGTTCCTCAACCGCCACGCTGTCCACTGTGACACAGACAACTGGGTTAGTGTTCAGGGAGAGTTAGGGGGAGGAGCTTGAGGGAGATGGACAGGGTGGGCTCTTGGGATGAAAAGGGGGTGGAGGCATGGAAGGACTGACTCTTCCGGCTTCTCCCTGAGGCCCCGCCCTCTGAGAATCAGCTAAAAGAGCCCACGTCTGGGCTTTAAAGATCCACTGGCTACACTCCTGCTGGGTCTCCCAAACAGAAGAGCTCAGAGAGCCGTCCCTCTGAGTACTGCCAGGGTAGTTTGAAAAAGCACCTGCGGCTCAGCGGTGGTGGTGATGCCTTTAATCCCAGCACTCAGGAGGCAGAGGCAGGAGGATCTCTGTGAGTTCGAGGCCAGCCTGGTCTACAGAGTGACAGGACAGTCAGGGCTACACCGAGAAACTCTGTCTCGGGGAAAAAAAATTAAAAAAGAGAAAGAAAAAGGACCTGAACAATGGAAAAGGCAGCTAGATGGTAAGAGTCAACACAGCCCCTCAGCAGAGCAGTCTGAGGAAATTTCACTTAAGGCTTTTACACAGACTACTTGCTAACCAAAGACGACAGTTAGAACCAAATAAAAAAAAATAGGGAATAAGTTTGGAGGTTAAATAAGGATCACTGTTAGGGGGTTAAGGAGGCAGATGGCGCATTTATCTATCTATCTATCTGTCTGTCTGTCTGTCTGTCTATCTATCTATCTATCCATCCATCCATCCATCCATCCATCCATCCATCCATCCATCCTGGCTGTTCTGGAGCTTACTACATAGTCAGGCTGGTCTCGAACTCACAGAGAACTCATAGTTGGCTACCATCTGCCTCCAAGAGCTGGGATTAAAGGCGTGCACCACCACACCTGGCTGAATGCATTTATAATAACAAAACACTGAAGAGGCTTCACACGAAGCCCATTTAGTGACTTCATTTGTCATCAGTTAGAAACAGCTTCTTAATAGGGACACTTCATGAGCCAATCCTACAGACAAAGAGGTGACTCAGGGTTTAAAGTCTATTTATTGCCTTATTAAATGACCATTAACACAATTTCTTCTCATGCCTTTCACGGGACATCTTGCCCTTTTGTGTCATCTTTCACACAGAATAAATTTCATTTGCACAAACCAGCCACCTGGCTCTAGCCCTCGAGTGGAAACTTTCAGAGACAGTTGTCATTAACAGTGGACAGGGAGTACGTGACACGCAGTGATGACACGCAGTGATAGGCAGTCCCACCCCCACTTCAGGGACCGGGGACTTCCAGCTGCAGCTTGCGGGCCGCTGAGTTTCGAGAAGCCACCAGCCTCGGCCACCAGGTCCATGTCAGCCCCACCTTCCCTGCTCCTCAGAGTTTCCTGGGCTGCTGTCTTACCAATGGCCTTCTTCAGTGTCTCATAGGTGATCTCCTCTGCAGGCACTCGCTGAAGGAGAAGGGACAGACATGTTCAGAGAGGTGAGGGAGAAAAGGCAGTCCTCAGAGAAACAATTGGATGTAATCTCTAAAATAAACTCCAAGAACTTCATAACGTTTTGAAGGCTCATGACATTAAATTATACCCCGAAGTGATGAATCTTAATACAGTAAGTCATGGGAGGTGAGCAGTAATAGGACCTCTATTGATGAGATTGGTCCCAAGACTGGAGGCAAAGGATCTCAACTTCTGCAGAGTCTATGAAAAGAGGTGGAAAATAATAAAACTCAAAGAAGGGAATTCCATGGATGCATGGCCTCAGGGAAGATGCTGAAGATAATGAAGTTTGGACCAGAGGACATGAACTTTGAACCAGACTATGAGCTTCTTGGTATAACACCCATGAGGAATCACATGCCATTACAAAAAATAAGGGGGAAAGGTAGACAGAAGAAAGTGGTTTAATGGGACAAAGTCTCACAAGGGGACACAACTGTGTTATATGGTTCCTTCAGGGAGAGGGGCCCAGACAGGTCCCTGCGTGATGATTGTGTTTGACCGCCTGATCTGAGTGTAATGGCATGGGCACACCCAGCTTGTGAAAATTCCGACAGTACAGTTCTTGATTAGTTTGCCATTTGATGGAGGAGGGTCATATGTCTATGTGTTACTTTTGTTGGTTAATAAAGAAACTGCCTTGGCCTTTGATAGGACAGCAGCTTAGATAGGCGGAGTAGACAGAACAGAATTGTGGGAGAAAGAAAGCAGAGGCAGGCAGACGCCATGGCTCTCCTCTTTGAGAATGACGTGAGTTAGAATCCTCCCGGTAAGCCACGACCTCGTGGTGAGACACAGATTATTAGAAATGGGTTAGATCAATATGTAAGAGTTAGCCAATAAGAGGCTACAGATAATGGGCCAGGCAGTGTTTAAATAAATACAGTTTCCATGTAATTATTTCGGGTAAAGCTAGCCAGGCGGCCAGGAGCCGGGCGGAACGAAAAGCAGCCCTCCACTCCTTTTGCAACAGCCATTTAGTAAGTGTGTGACTGGAAAGGACAGACACGGGATAAAGACATTGAGTAAATATTGTATGGACATCAATAGCATGCAGAACTCTCAGTAGGTCAACAGAAGCTGCCAAATTTGTTAACAAAAGAATTACATGCCAATAGAGCCTGAGAATTCATCCTATGCACACACACACACACACACACACACACACACACACACACACACACACGCACACACACACCCCATTCATCCATCCATCCCTCCATCCCTCCATCCATGGTCAGTGAAGACCAATGCAGATAAACTCCAGGTACTAAGGAACCATAGGGTAAAGGAAAAGGAAAAGCAAGTTCTCCAAATGAGAGCAGGCAGAGAGCTGTGCGTGGAGGAAATGGGACCTAGCTGGGCTTTAAGGAAGAAGACTTCATAGGTCCAAAGGTCCGAGCACCCACAATGGAGAAGAGGACAGACTCTGGGAGGTTTTTGGCACTGGTGTACTTGTGCAAACAGATGAGTGAGTGTGGTGTGGAGGATACTGACAGCAGTGCCACCAGCAGAAATAGGGTGGCATGGGGAATAAAATGAACACAGCAGGGCCAGCCCAGAATGCTGGGCACTAGGATTAAGGTTTGACCACATCAGCATTGATTCATCCCTCATAGTGATGGCAGTCAGTCAGCACAGGATCCTGAACCAGGGTACCATGGGCTGAAGCAGTGGAGCATAGGGAGGGCACAGCTCTGCACCAGTTACCAGGATGCCCCTGGGCTAAGCTGACCCAAGGAAAGAGCCAATACGAGTGTCTCAGGAGGCCACCAGTGAGTAGGGTAAGCATTTCTCCTCCTTAGATTCACTTAACTACTGAACTTGATGGGAAAGTCCCCTTTGCAGCATGGGGAAGCAGTCAACTAACTCCAAGGCTGTGACACACTAGAAGTTCTGTATTGTGGAACAATGGTTCTGCACCCTGTAAGGTTTTTTCACTTGCATTGGTTTAGTAAAACACTGACTGGCCAGTAGCCAGTCAGGAAGTATGAACGGGGCAACCAGAATAGGAGAATTCTGGGAAGAGGAAAGGCTTAGTCTACAGTTGCTACCCAGATGCAGAGAAAGCAAGATGAGAATGCCTCGCTGATAAAAGGTACCAAGCCATGTGGCTAACACAGACAAGGATTATGGGTTAATGTAAGAGTTAATTAATAAGAAGCCTGGCTAATAGGCCAACCAGTTTATAATTAATGTTGACCTCTGTGTGTTTCTTTGAGACTGAACAGCTGTGGGACTGGATGGGACAGAAACCTCTGTCAACAGTCCTGTCTTTCATGACTGAAAGGGTCTCTGAGGGCCCCCACTTCCAGTTCCTCACTTTGCTTGATTAATTAGGCAGGGTCAGAGCTTCTTCTGGAGTGTTCCAGAGCAGCTCTGAGTATCCAGGTTTAGAGCTTGGACCTAAAAGGATGCTTAAAACCTTTAAGGGCTTTTCTATGCTCTGATCATACCTGGGGAGAGATCCAGCATCCTCCACAGCTGCCCTCAGACTCCCCATGAGTCTTCCTGTCCCAGTCCCTCTCAGATGTGGGTCCTCCTTACTTTGTGTGACACTTGCTCCAGGACTGTCAGTTCCCTAATTTGTATGATAGGGAATGGAGTGAGCCTTTCTAAAGTGATTTTTTTAAATGATACTCTCATGGTAGAAGAACATTAATCTCTTAGCTGGAAATACCAATGATGTACACATAATGAGAGTCAGTAAGAAAATGGATGTGCTCGAGAAACTCATTTCTGCAGATCCTTTAATGCCCTGTAAAGGGCTCTGGAGTACTTTAGCATCCAGTGTACTGACAAAACTCACCTCCTCTCTCTCTGGGCTGTTCCTCGATTCCACCTCTACCTGAAGGGAAATGGTCTCTCCAATGCTCTTCCTCTTGGACAAACGATCTTCATCTGGAAAAGAAGAGCCCAGAAGCTGGGTTTCCCAGTCCTTAATAAGCCACTGGTCCCACCGTCTGTGCCTTGATCCATAGTCCTCAATGGCTCGGTACATACGTAGGCTACACATGGAGCTTCCAGAAGCTTCTATCTGCTGTGGGTCTTCTTTACCCATCTTAGGGTGGCCAGGTTGCTTCTTTGGGTTAAGATTTTTGCAACCATGTGTGAAAACAAAGGAGCTGCTTAGGACCAGAAAGCATATCTCAACTAGCGCAAGCTGGCTGCATCCACTAGCAGCACCGGTAATGCTCACACATGCAGTGTTCCCTAAAGTGCATCTGACTTCATTATCCTACACACTACACAACCCTCTAACGCAAAATTCCGTAGTCCAGAGACTTGCCCAACATCTTTTTAGATAAGTAAGTGGCACAGACAGAAGTCCTGAAATGGGTCCTTGGTTCTGTAACCCATGTGTACTCTTTCCAATATTACAGACCAGCCCTCTACACGTCAGGTTATTCTCATGGCCCAGTTGCTTTCTGAGATGCCAGAATGGGGAGAAGGAGCATCGGAATAGCGATCTTACCATAAATTCTGCTATGTCTCTCAGTTCTTATATAACATCTAAGATGCCACCACAAGTGATTCAGGTGTCTTCACCCCCTTCCCCTAGGGCGCTTACGTGGCAGGAAAGGCAGAGGTAGGGTGGAAGTCTTGCCCGGAGCACATACCTGTCAGCTGAGGGATGTAGGGCAGGCAGAGCCTGTCCGAATTGTAGCCACTGCCTCCCAGGACTTCACTGATTTTACTCTGGCGGAAGAGAAACTCTATCACCACGCCATCTAGATTCTGAGACAGCCTGAAGGACAAAGAGGCAAAGTAGAGCTGTGGGCAGCTAGAACAATCCCTGGATAACTATCACAATAGCAACATAGCCACTATGCAAAATGACAGAGAAACAGAAGAAAGTTTCCCTGGTCCCTTTTCCTCCGTGGATACCTACTATCCTACATTTTATGCAGAAAACTTCAGTTGCCTACACTTATGCCCACACATGAATGTTCCCTTCCCTAACACACTCTTCTGTGGTTAATTTTGGGTATGTGTATGTGTGTGCAGGTTCACATACATACGTATGTGCGCAGATGTGTGAAGGAGACCAGAGGTCAATGTTGGGTGTTGTTCCTTAGGCAACATCCACATTTTCTTTGAGACAGGGTCTCTCACTGGCCTTGAGTTCACCAAGTAAGCTAGGCTGGCCGGCCAGTGAGCTCACAGACCTGCATGTCTCCACCCCAGTATGGGATGACAAGCATATGATATACCACACCTGACTTTGGCCAGTTAGCAAATGAGAGGCCATGGTTTAGAAGGTTAAGTCTTGCTGCTGGACACCTCGTTTTTCAGAATAGTTTTCCCCTGAGTTCATGCGGAAGCGACACTGGTCCATAGCACTGCCCGAAGGCAGGGTCCTGTCAAGGGCAACTCCTCTAGGATGCACCCTCCCTGGGTTTGACCAAAGCTCCTGGAGTCGACATCACCTATGCAGTACAGCGCTCTCTGCCCATCACAGTCCGCCTGAGGCCTGATGGTATGGCAAGCTGTGAAAGGGGTATGGTAATGTGAGGGGGGCCAAACTCTGCCCAGGGCTTGGAGATCTCAGGCAGGGTCGAAGACCCCTGATGTGTGTTCTTGCCTGACCTTACTCTACCCACTCTCGCGTGTTTGACCGCATCCCTGGTACTGTCCTTACCTGGGCCTTTCCACGAACACGTCTTCGGGAAGCATGTATGGCGCTTCCTTTTTCCTGGTCTCTATCACCTGGAGGGAAACAAACAAAATGGTGAGAGTTGGATGCGGCAGGGCCGG